ATCGAACCAACTGGTTGAGGCAGAGGATAAACTAACAATGCATGGAAAAAGTCCATATTACGCAAAATACTTCTGTGGGCTACTTTAAGAAGGGTAATTCTTGGGAACCGAATTAGTTTGTTAGAGACACTCAGAATCCCTTCAATGCAATTTCACAATAATTTTGCAACCGACCTTGAACGGCTTGAGACCATTCTGGAATGAGTAGTATACTTTCGGAAATATTTTTGAGCCGTTCTCGGTATAATCGGTATAAGTTCACAAATAATAATAGTTTTGCACAGTTTCAGCAGCAACTAAAGAGCAAATTTTGAAGCCTTGACCAAAATAAGAATAAGTTGCGGAGTTCTTAGTGAGAGCGAAATATGTTTAATGTTTGTTTTCCCAATAGATGGAAGAATCTGCAGTTGAAAGCCGCCGGGGAAATTTGAACATTGATTCGGGTGAAACTACTCCAGAACTGTTTCAAAATCAGCCCTCCTTAAATACTCAAGACTCTAGATAACTTCCGAAAGAACTATTCCAAAAATTACTTCAGAGCTAACTTGTTTGCAAACCACATAAATATTCACACAGTGCGAGAAATCAAGCTCTTCACTACACTCTCATGAAATTACGTATTCTACGTACAATTACAGCAACTTTGCCCGTCCATAGAGAGACAGACGTCGCCACAAAAAGATGATTTAGCTCCGCAGAGCAGCTTAACTCAAGTAACGCGCACTTTTACAATGCAGTGTAATGTTTGGATAATTAATTTTATTGTCTAAGTTTAGGAGCAGGAAAAAATAAGGGGAAAAAATTACAGAAATTTCTACAAAAGCAAAAACTAACAGCACTGCAATAAAAAACAACAACAGCAACAAAGGACAACACATGAATCTAAGGAATAATAATTAAGTCACAAGTGAAGCCAAAACAAGTGAATGCGAAGGACATTCGTGCCGAAATAAGTACTCTGATTAAAAGTGTACGTGTGTGTATGTGTGTGAATCTATGTTTGTGTTTGTTTGCGAAATGATGAAGTTCGTTAGTTTATTGTGTATGCATGCGATACAAATAGAACAAGAATATTGAAGTTCCATACAAATGTTACTCATTTCATTGTCTCCATACCACTCTCTGCTCTTCTCTACCCCTCGCTAGGCAATTTCATTCCTACTGCATTTTTTGTGTTTGTACCGTTACAATGGACACTCTGCATGAATGCATGAATGCGTTGTTACCAGCGTAGTAGTATAGTATAGTATGTTGCTACATACTCGTGAGGTAGGTGAATGCCTCTGCAGAGAAATGACATGTCTGCGACAAACATACACACTTATATATATATATATATATATGTATATCGAAATCTCTGGCTGGTGCTTAACAGCATTTGTAACTGTCAATATTTTTCTAAAACATATGTCCGTATATAAATATAGTCTATTTATTTTCCCATTTGTAAGCATATCGCGGCTGTGGGCGTTTTGTGTGCTCTTTTTTTTGTCGTTCGTTTTTATGGCCATTTGTCTTTGCTTTCTCATTTCATCTATTATGCCAAGAAATAATAACGGTAAGTTGGTTTTTCTACATCACTGCTAACATATTATGCAGACTTATTGCTTTATGTATGTACATATGTATGTGTGCATGTAGAAATTGTCGACCAAATGCCCACATGTCGTACGAGTGACGATTTTTCAACTGCGTGCAAATGCACGTGAAAGCCAAACCGAAATGTTGCTCATACGCCACCGGCACACACACACCCATGTTCGCACTCTAAATGCTGCATACCAGTCTAGTTTACTTATGAACTCGCATGCAAATATACACAATTACACATACAAATATTTATATATTTGTGCAAATAATAGAATTTATGTTCTTCTTCTTCTTCTTCTTTGTTGGTCACAGACATATTGCACCGGCTGAACCATCCGTCGGTGGTGCGGTAGCTCAGTCGACGTGACTTCTGTTTATTTCATTTAGCTGTCACATAAATAACATAAAACGTATAAATGCGTATGCAGAGTCTATTATGGGCGTTGTGTGGCGAAGCGGAGGGCGTGAGGGAGGGCAGGTAGGCCTGTAGGTATTAGGACCAGCAATAAGATGTGTCTTTAAATAGCAAAGAACGAAAATTATTATTTATAAGATGTTTTGAATCAGCAATCGCAATGAAAATAGCTTAGCCCACCATATTTTTGAGCAGTTAAAGAACTAAATTAAAAAGAGTTAAGCAAAAGGCCAAGAACGAAGAAGAAAAATTTCGTGAAATTTATGAGAAGACTGGCTTACTGAACTCACCAAACGACTTTAGGAACTACTGACCAAGGCAATATAAAGTCGCCTCTCGTACCGAATTCAACAAACAGTCACTGGGTAACAAAAATATGTGTTGAAAAAAGTCCTCCTCATGAAATCCCCTAAAATTAAATGGCTCACAGTTTTACAACAACCAAAATGAATAATTTCCAAAGCACATCATAAGCCTCAATGGCACGATTATGCAGCGAAAGTAGTCATGAGCCAAGTAAAACCAGTCTTCAGAATTAACATCCTAAGCCGACATTAACTGAAAGAAGATTATGTATGTGGTGTGGAAAGAAATGCCCTTAAATGCACGCAGGCGTAAGCCCTCGCAGGATATGTCAACCACTCTTTATGTATTTCTGGCATGAAAACCAACACTCCTTATAAAACTCCATCGGTTGTTCGGAGGCGTCTTGGTACCTACTGTACTTGTTGGAAAACCATCAAGACGCATACCACAAGTTGGAGAAAAACTTGGTCGAAAATCGCTTCAGCGGCTCTATAAGCGCCATTATTCTGTGTTTTCAAACTGATTCCGAATTTCAGTAACTTTATACTGATTTCAGCTACATCTATCAAGGTAAGATATAACTTAATTCAGAAATCTCTGAAAGATATTATTCAATTAATTCATAACCAATTGTTTGCAGTTAATAAAAAATATGCGCTCACCTTAAATATTTTATTAAATAAATTTTCCTGTTTATGTGTCTTGTTTTTAATGCTTATGTCACTTTCTTAGATTTTGGTATATTTTTGTTGTCTTTTTTCAACATTTCCTAGCCACTATTATCATATTTATAGTGGCTTTATTTATTTATTTAATTTTTTCTCGCATTTCTTTTTTTTTCATTTCCTTTAGTTTTACGAAGATTAGTACTTTTTTGTTGTTCTTGCAAGTTTCATTTTCATTCAATTATTTTTCTTCATTTCTCACAGTTTACTTTTCAACAAAATTCATGCCAAATCCCGTTTATTTGCTTTGCTAAGTATTACTGTTGTTGTTGTTGTTGTTGTTGTTGTTTTTCCGTTAGTTATGGTATTATAATGCTTTCTCATTGAAATCAAAAAACTTTTCTAACTTTCGTAACGGCGACACTTGGCTGCTGCTACTGAAAGTTTTCATTTCACGTTTAACTTTTGCAAAAACTTATTTCTTTTTTCTTCGATTTCTTCTTCTCCTTCACCTTACTTCTTCATGCTTTGTGTTCTAAATTTGTTGATTGCTCGCTTCGGTGTTACTCGCTTGCCACGCTGTCGTCATAAAACTAACAGTGTTATGGTTGTTACATTCGTTGAATTAGTTCTCAAGTGTTGTTGTTGTTGTTGTGGTGGTGGTTTTTCTTGTTTCAGTTAATTTGCAAACGGATTGCAATAACTCGAGTCTTGTTGTGATTCGCCTCAGTTCACGTGCTGCTACTGTTGAAGTTGTTTGTTGTTTATTATTGTTGCTGTTGTTGTTGTTTCTACACTTACTCTTGCATGAGTCAGAATTGTTTGCGGCAGTTTTCACTTCCACACTTATATCTGCAATCAGCTTTTACGGTACTTTAATGCATTTGTATTTGGTTTTTGTTTTTGTCTTTCTTGTTCTTGTTGTTCTTGCTTTTGCAGTCGCACTTAAAGTTGTGCTGTCATAGTTTCTTGTTTGCCCGTATCCTATGGTATGCAAAGTGTTACTTTCCTACCTATTTCCTTCCTTCCGACATCGCTTCCTCTCTCGCCACCGGTTTCGCCAACCGACAATAACAGCAGCAACAACGTAACGGACGTGTCGGACAACGATATAACGTCGTCAACTATCTCCGCTCACGTTTGGTTATGCGACAGTCGGGCAGCCTAACAATGTTTAAGCTACGTGCCTGTCGAGCTGGTCAAGCAGCTAAACGACGGCCGACCGCTGACGGACACGTTTCCTGATTTTGTGAATTTAATATTTATCACTACAGCGGCGGTGCTAGCGACCACAAGCAATAAACTGCACACACACGCACACACACTCACACACTAGTCGAAGACGATTTTCAACTGCTGCTGCTCATTTATGGATTATGTGTTTTTTATAGCTGCCTGCAGCGCTGAACACATCCTCGACTTCTTTATCTGCCTAGTGTTGCACTGAAGTGCGGACTTAAAAGTAGGAAAAAAATAGTGGACAGCGTTGAAATCGCTTTGGCCTCTGAGTTTTAGCTATTTTGTTTTGCTGTTTATTTTTTATGTTATTTTATTTTGTAATATTTTTGGTTCACTATATTTTATTTTTTATATTATTTTATTTCAATTTATTTTGTTTACTCATTATATTTTATTATTTGTGTTATTTTAATTTTCTTTTCATTAAAATTATTTTCTTTTATTTCAGTAAATTATTTTTATATTATTTCTCGTTTCATTATATATTATTTTTCTTCATTTTATATTATTTTATTTTGTTTTATCTGAATTAATTTTATTTAATGTCCTTTATTTTGTTTTACATTACTTTTTATCCTTTTCACTATATTTTGTAATATATTTTTTATTCAGTTTTATTTTAATTTCTTTATTTTAATTTATTTTTTTATCTTCGTTAAATTTTTTAATTTGAATGTTTTCTTTTCTTTTTTTTTGCTGTATGACTATATACATATATATATATACAAAAAGCACAGTAAGTAACTGTTAAGCAGGCTGACAAGTGGTGAAGGAAAATAATTTACCTTAGGCTAGTTTTCTCTTATAATTTGATGTCTGGTCTCTGTTTCTTCTACTTTTAACGTTTGTTGTTGTTTATTGAAGTCTGATTCAATTTTTCCTTGCGTTATTTGTTTTACAATATTTTAGGAGCAGAGAAATGTTATTCTTAGTTTTCACTTTTTTATATATCCTTAATTTTCGTATCTATTTTCGGCATTTTTTAAATTTACTTTCTTTCTTATTAATTAATTCATTCATTTGCAACACACTTTAGCTTTTTTAAATCTTTTCCTTTTCTATGCGAATTTTACTATTTTTTGTACATTTTTTATTTCCTTCGTATTTTACTCTTTTATTTGGTGCAGCCCTGAAACTTTTTTTCTCACATTCACCACACTTTTGTACTTCTTAATAACCCTTTCACCTGCACTATGCTGTGCTCTTGCGATAATTGTCATTTCGCGCTGATTTTTTTATATCATTTTTTACACAATTTGTTTTTTTCACTTTACCACTTAGTTTTTGCGTTCTTTATTAGTTTATTGTTCATATTCTAATTCTCTTTTTTGTGTGTATTCTCAACATTTTTTCAGCTGCTCATTAGCATTGCACATTTTGGTTGTTTACTTTCTTTTATTTTACTGTGTTTATTAGCATCTGCTTTGTTTTCAACCATTTTTGGCAATTCAATATTCACCACAACACTCTCTTCACCGTTATTTGCTATAGACTGCATAAGTTGGCAGCTTTTTTTACGATTTGTTGCTAGCGCACTCGCTACTCTCGCACTCGTTGAACTTTTCGCTGAGGAAATGAGTTTTCCGAACCGCACGAGTCTCTGACGAATGCTGAGCAGTGTTGATTTGTGTTCAATGCGGAATAAGAGACGCAGAATTCGTTCAGATTCAACTATGAAGCAAGCCACGAGCACATGTACTTGGTCTTCAAGCGCTTTAAGCCAACTCGCTGGGTACTCGCTAAATAACTTGCAACTCGCTGCCTTTACTTTTGTCTTTCCAGTGCACACAATTTGCTGTTGCTGTTGTTTCTTGTTTCGAGGTTCCTCGTAGTCCTTGTAGAGTAGTGCAACTCGTCTTTCATACGTCGCTCCTTGCTCTCCAGTAGATTGTTGCAATATCTTCAGTTGTTTGGCTCCGACGTACTCGCGTCTACTCTTAACGCATTCAGATTTTACATTGCAAGCGGAGTGGTCGTGCTCGTCGTCAATGCTTTGGACGTAGCTGCTTTCCCCACGCAACGAGATAACCTTCTTCTGCAGCAGACTGTTGCTGATGGAATGCGTCATCGGAGTGAGTTGGGTGTTGATGCTGCTGCTTGTTGCTGTTACTGTTCAACTAACTCGCAGATTGGTGAGCTGATGCTAGCCAAGGAAATGCGTGATGACTACATTTGTAGCCAAATTTCAGTTTTGAGCCATTCTGCGTGCTTATGTAGACTGTAACTTCTCCCTCCCAAATTGTTCAAACTTTTTATTGCTGCTCTTTAAATCTTATCGAAGGCTTTCTAACACCCTGCGGAAACTTTGCCTCCAACCACGTCTCAACCCGACACTCCCACACACCCACACTGCACATTCAAGGTTACTCAGCGAGTAAGCAATTAAATGGGCTTATACGTTAGTTTGAGTGTGTCTGCTTTTATATGAGTCCTTAACTTCCTTACACTTGGTTGCTTTCGTTGGTTCTATGTGTGTCAATAGTCATAATATGATATTTTATTGCTTCAACAACTGGTGAGTTTTTGGGATTTCCTATACTTAAGCACTGCTTTTCACAATATGTACGCCTGAAAGTATGCCTCGTTCGCACGAAAAGCTCATGACTTTTCCAAACTTCACTCGCAACGCCACGGAATTCTTATTTTACTTATTCTTCTGTTTTATTAAATATTTTTCGTCTATTTTCTTCATCAATTAGCAGGAAACGTACTTTTCATGCTGACTTTTTCATGAGTTTACCGAAATTTTCTAATATCCTACCGCGTCCACCGCCACTCCCGTCTTTTTCTGCAAATTTGCATTTTCCTATTAATTTCCTTCATTTTTGGCTCATTACTCTCTGGCGTTGGCCATTTTACGTACGTTTTTTGTCTTTCTATTTTTTCGTGCTTGGCTTGCGCCGAAGGGTTTGTTGGTTGGCTGGTGTAGAGACGGTGTGTCGCCTCGCAGCAGGCAGGCACTGTGCGCCTCTGCAGCTTTGTTTCAGCTGGTGTCTTCTGCTGCTTCGTCCGCTACTAGCGTGCAGCCACACATACTAGTTGGTATGCACCGCGCGCTGCCTCCACTCGTCCGCTCTGCGACCACACTCGCGCTGAGCTCGGTGTCGTTCTTTCGTTGCCTTTACGGCGGACACAACCACACGCTGCCTTCGTGAGGTACCTTCCTACTGCTGATTTTGCTTCCTCTTTTTTTTCTGTTGGACTGCCTATCACCTACTTGATACTACTGACTACTTGGCTATTGTAGAACTTTGTATCTATTCCTCTTTAACTTCTGTCAAGAATTTTTTATTGCCTGCGTTGCGTCCTCGCGCTCGTAAATGTCGTTTTTTCGATTTTCATAGCAACTCGTCCGTCATCACTCGTTTCCTCGCCATTTTAACCTTTCCGTGCGCTTGAACATTGATTTATTGAATTTCTTATTGCTTCAACCTTTCAATTTACACTTTCAGCATTTGCTTGCTTTCACACAAACACACACATTTGCATCCTTCAATTCCAATTTTCCTTCTCCTATTTTTTTTCTTTTCAAACACATATTTTCCTGCATGAAATTCTTTCGATTTTCCGATTAACGCGTGTCTTAACGCTTAGGCTCCTCCACTCCAACTACTTTGGCGTTCACGTATTTCATGCTTAGGCCGAGAAAAAGCTCTGTGGCGCTGCTGACGAGCAGAAACGAGCGAGTTGGGTGAGCGCCGACACTGACTCTTCGTTCAGAGTTTTTGGTTAGGCCGCTCTCATTGGCCCCTCGCCGTCTGCATGCCTGTCTGCCCTGTTGTCTGGCAGTTGCTTGTACGATTTGCTGATATTACGAGTTTTATTTGTGAAACAATTATGTTGCTGCTCTGAAGGAGGGGGTGTCTAGTGAGAGTACACCGTAAAAAAGTTAAGCTTAAGAAATATCTGGAGACTTGACTTTATGAATGAAAAGGCTTATGAAACTAAGCTTGAAAGTGAACAGACTTAAGGTCGGGTAAATTAATTTTATTATAAGTAGATGTTGCAAAATCTTACATCCTTATGGGGAAAAGTTCATTTAAGACAACCACGCTTGGGATGGGTGGTAATTATTTGTCCGACCCCTTCTCACCCCATGAAACTGAACTGGGAATTATCGCATACCTAATAAAACTAGTTTGTTTTGGCATCACCTTGTCTTCGCTGTTAACAAACAAGTTTTTCGTGCATTTAAATTCTTCTCTGTGTGGATAAACGTCAAGCTCCCCCTCCATTTACTATAATCCATCTGGTCACACTCGCATTTCCCAATCAAATTCCTAACGAGCCCCCCAACTGAGCGCGTACAGGTGTGAAACCAGTAAGAGAGTAATTGAAATTGAGAGAGGTAATGCTAATAAAAAGGCTGAGAGAGTCAAGAGTGCTTATCTCCAAGTGCAAAGTAGTGGTGAAAAGCTTACTGGTTTTAGCAGCTGTAAACAACAAACGAATAAATGGCAAAAGGAGTTATGTGTAACAGAAAATAATGCAAAAAAAAAAATTAAGAATGTCATAAAAGCGAATGGCAGTTTGCCTGATGTAGTGCGAACACATAGAAGTTGTTGTTATTTGATTATTTACTTAATAATTTCGATTTATTTGGCTTCCTAGAAATGTGTTCCCTCTCTCGCCATTGCACTAAGATTCGAGTTAAATAACAAAGGTTTCTAATAAAACTTAAATGGAGAGGAAATCCTGGTGCTCTTCACTTCTTCTTCCTCCCCGTGTAATTGTGCTGCCCTTTGTTGCAGGTTGCAGATGGCAACACGTGCTCTGCAGATGACTGCTTCCATCTGGCATTGATAGCTTCTATCAGTCGTTTGTTGTTTTTTCTTCAATTCATACAAGTCATTTCTGGCACACAAAAGAAAAGAAGAAAACATTGAATTCTCCTGCAAGAAAAAGAACAAAACTGCAAGATCCTTCATGCATTCAAACGCAATCAACATCAAGGACTATTAGTGGAAAAGAAGGAAGGGCAGAAAGAGACAGGAAGCTTAAGGTGAGGCGAAACAGGTGGCGAAAGTATTGAAAGATGAAGGAGACGCCTTTTTGGTATGTAGCTTCTCGCATTTTTGTAGCCTATTAATTTGCAAATTAAAAAAATAAAAATTTAGAATTCAATAAAAAATAAAAAAAAAATTATTGACTTGTTTTGTACTAGTTGTGAACCAGTTGATGATAGACTGTGGCTTTTGAATGAAGAAATAACGGTTTCTTAATGTTTGCAAACAAAAATATCAAGTTATCCACTTTGGTCTAGTTGCGAACTAGTTACTTTTTTTTATCAAAATAATTCAAATCACACAATAAAATCGTCGTTCTCAACCTTTCTTCGCTATTCATTTCATTGGCTATCATTACACATATCTCGCTAATTGTCTTTCGTTGATATTAATGTTATTATTTATACATTCTTATAAACTTATACACGTATGCATTTGCACATATACATATAGGTATATATGCGCTTTATGAACAACATTTTAGAGTTAAAATTTAGTGTTTTCTTCAGTTATTCATTGTTGTTGTTGTTGTACTGCTCTATTTTTATCACCATGCTACTCTATTTGCCGACAGCGTCATATTGTCTGTGGTTTTATTGATTTTTGTTATTTGTTGTCGCTGTTGTTGCTGCTGCTGTGTTATTCCTTACATTTTTACAGCTTTTGGTGCTATTTGCTGTAACTAAACGCTTGAAATGGTGTTGATTTCTGGGTCGGTCGCTTCTATGTTGAGCTACCAGAGTATGCTTGACTTCCGAAATTTGATAGGCTTACATACATACATATACATGTACATATATAATACAAATGTATGTCCATATAGTACACAAGTGCGTGCGCTTGGTCATTATATTGGTGCCGCCATGTCTGCATATAAATATGTACGAGTTGTTGTTACTGCTATCATACATCTCTCTGTAAATAAAATATGTATGTGTGTGTATATACGCTGTATGTAGTC